TGATTCGTAGATTTCTCTCCACTCTCAGGGACACCCGAGATTCTAGTCTGATCCCAGTTTGTTATTTTAATTTTTTATTTTTATCTCGGCTACAGCCATGAGACAAAGGGGTGGATAAATTTGCCACCTACATTGGCGGATAGGGGTGGGCACAGCGTAAACCTGGCCACATAACAGCGTAAACCTGGCTGCATAACAGCGTCGTGGGAACTTCTGACAGCGAACAGACAAATAAGAGTTACTTTATCTCCAAGCTTTTTGCTAAAGTTCTAAACCCTTCTCCTTCCCCACTTCTGCGTCTGCCATGTGCAACCTTTTCTGTCTGACTTCCACCGGCAGTGGGCGGGCTCAAATGGGCGGGCTTGGGCGGTTTCTATGACTCGCCCTAACTCACCTTAACTCCAACCACTCATTCTCAAACTGCCTTGGGAAGCACAGACGGGTCTGGAAGCAGCTAAGATCCATACAAATAAGTTTACAGTAGTCAGGATGGCTCTTAAGGCAAAAAATCAGCTTATAGCCTCAGACAAGTCTTCCAAAAGGATCAGTTTATAGTCTGCCTACTGGCAGATCTTCCAAAAGCTGTCCTTAAGCCATCAATCATCAGGAAAAAAAATTCAGGACTTGGAGTAAAATCCGTTTCTTGTTCCCCAAACCTCCCTGACTAAAACTTAAGCATCTGGAGAGCAAGGCTCCTGACCCCACAGGCAAAAGAGTCATCTGTGGCATTTAAGGTGTGCCAGGGTGGAGATAAAAGCCCAAAAGCAAAATTGCCAAGTGCTGGCACTCACTGACTTCCAAAAGCTGTTGGGTCCCTGTTTTAAGTGAGGAAAAAGGCCACAGGCTAGCAAGGGCCCTGCCAGGCCATCGACAGCCTTGTTAAAAGTGCCGCCTAGAAAGACAATGAGTCAGCTGACTGCCCCCAGGCACCAAGATGGTATGGTTACATCAAGCTAAGACCTCCAACAGACCTAGGCTTGGCTACAGACATGGCAGGGAACCCAGAACGCAGCAGAGAAGCGATCCTTTTCCTTCCTTCTGGACACTGGAGCCACTGACTCAGTCCTGGGAGTTTTGGGATGTCACCTCTCCTTTATTCTTGGGTACAGAGGACAGCCTTACCACCTCACCAGATTTAATTGCACTTTCAGAGTTACTTAATGAAAAAAAGATTTCCACCTAAAATAAGAGCTCATTGCTTCACTCCAGACCCACTGCCTGCGTTTCTCACATGCATGCAGACAGGGCCCTGATCTTTGCCTTGTCCCTAATTCCAAAAAATAAATTCTCATGCACCACAAGATTTTCTCTTCCCAGTTCCCTGTTCTAACTCACTGTTCAGCTAACGGTACAGGACCACCACAGAACCGGAGTCCAGAGATCATCAAATAAAAAACTGTAATAGCTAAAAGCATCTTGTCAAACAAAAAGTTCCCAGCCACAGCCAAGAGGGATATGTGTCTCCAGAGCAAATGGATGACAGACACCATTCCACAACGCCTGTCTACCTTGGAAAACTCCCCTTCACCATTCTCCATTCCCCCAGAGCCAACTGACGTCCAAGAGTTAGCTTTTTGAGAGGAACAATGCCCCTAGTCCCATCTACCTGCTTTTTTTTATAATAAGGGAAAGTCTGGGATGTAAGGATTCGGTCCTTAATTACGTCATCAGCCTTCGACAGCGTCCCAGCCTAAAAAGCGGTGGGCCCTCTGTGCGTCCTTCTCTTTCCTTTCCGCTCCTTCCTTCTGTCTGCTCTCTCTCTCTCTCTCTCTCTCTCTCTCTCTCTCTCTCTCTCTCTCTCCCCCCATCTCCCAATAAATCTCTAAAAAGGTAACCATGGCTGTGATTCTTCCAATCAGCACGCTCCTCCATCTGCATGGCTGCTGCAGGCGGCAGCCAGCCACGAGGAGCAGCGCCACAGCATAACCAACAGTGATAGCTGGCTTAAGTATGGAGAGTGGGATGGAAGGGAGAGGTTTTTTGAGCCACATATTGCTAGTCTGGGACCCCCCAATTCCCATGCCTGGCAAATGCAAATCGATAATGATTTATTTTAGAATGGTTTTTCTTGCTGCCCAGATTATGTTCTAAACATGCTGGACTGTAAGTCGGAGGCACCAAGCCTTTCTCAGGACATCATATGTCCCTAAACAGTTGCCAAAATGTCAGGCATCGAGTGGGATTCAGGAAAGGGTGATCATTATCATACTTTGCATGGAAATGCAGACAAGGGAATAAAGAACCCAAGGAGTTCCACAAGAAGAAACCACATGGATAAGGTCTAAAGTTGAGAATGAACAGCCAATACAAGTTAAACATGGCCAACTCTGAAGCATGTGTGAGGAGAGTGTGCTAACTGACAGGGAAAACTGGGGGTGCTTGGGAAACAGGGCATAGTAAAGTGGGGGTACAACAAGCTACTTTAGGGTTCTGGGGAGGAGAGGGACATAATGAAAACTGTTCTACACATGTTAAATAATAGTAAAATGAACAAAATTCACTATAGTGACTTGGAGAGGAAGGCTGGCTTTGAGAGGATTTTTGAGACGCTGTTTACTGGCCATGAAAAGGCCAGACAAGACTAAGGAATAAGAATAGGCAAATAAAGAGCTCAGAAGGTTCCATCTTTTAAGGGTTTATGAATGATGCTTGTGTATGCAGAATAAGGCAAGAAGGGAGGAAGGACAAGCCACTATCACAGTGGGTAACTCAAGGAATGTGGGCCGCTGGACATAAAATGTTGAGGGAAGGCAAACACTCAGCTAGAAATGGAGAGGTACAACAGGCTTGACAGAGGTTGTAAATTAAACCATGTGGACAAAGAACAATCAGAGAAAATGGGCTTGCTTTTTGCTTTCTTTAATTGTTTCATATTAATAAAGTATAATCGTAGTCACTGTAAGATATTTGGAAAATACAGGTAAAAATTAAAAACACTCGCAAACTCACCTTCAGAGATAAACCCATAAAGCCTCCACAGTCTATGCCCTTCAGTATTTGGTGGGTTTTTTTTTATTTGCATTTTTTTCTGTAATGGTCTGTGTATGGTAGAATTGTACAGCCAGTGTTTCTCCACTGTATCCCACCTCCTAGTAGCTGTTCCTTGCCCAGACACCAAGGCTTCTCCTACCCAGGAAGTTTAGGGGCAGCTGTAGATTAGCTCAGATCGCCCTTAGAGAGGAACACTGTAAACCAGCATGTGAGGGAACCATGCAAAGCTGAATAACCAAAAGCACACTTCACACAGTGAATAGCTGACAGACTGTGCAGGGAATTCTTCAGGAACGCCTGTTAACGTCAACTCGGAATGGTTCTCCCTTTGAAAGGTGAAGATGCTCTTGCAACTTCCAACTACAAATGGAATGGACTGAGATGTGGACCTGGTCGCCAGCTGCTTTTTCTTTAGAAAGTCGCTACGCACACTGCTCAGCACCTTTCTCTCCACAAAGGAAGCACACGAGTTCTTACTTACCCAACAAAAGCTCACAGAGGGCTAAAAGATGGTCAGTGTAAGGCACCAAGTATCAGATGATCGTTGGCACCAGGTCTGTTACACACACTGCTTCAAAGGGGGCTGGGTTGACTAACCACATACTTATTAATCTGCTCGCCCCAATTAACTATAAATCACAATGATTTCTAGAAGTTGTCAAATACCTTTAAAAACCAACCCTTTTATTGATTCCTTACTGGTCTATTGTTAGATCTCTCCTATATGATTTTTTCAGTAATAGTATAGAATATTAATTTTCCATTTTCTCTTATAAACCATATTTTAACAGCTATTTTACATATAAAACTTTGTTAGCATCTTCACTTCATTCCTTACAGTGGATTTCTAGAAGTGGATTTCCAAAAATGTTTTTAAGTTTTCAAAACAGGCTATTAACATGGTCCTAGAAAGCTGGCGCTGGACACCATTTACACTGGGAACGAACAGCCACTTGGGACTGAATCTTTCTGTTAGCGTAACAGGTCATTTAGCGACAGAAGCAGGAATAAAGACACTTCATGTTTCATTTACATTTGAGTATAGAAAAAAAAGAGACACTAAATATAAAAATTAACTATGCTGTGAGAAGTTCCCAGACTCTAGCTGGGCTGAATTAAGCAGGGCTGAAAGAAGTATTATAGAGTCTCACCCAATGGGGAATTGGTGGTTCCAAAGAGAAAACAAATGTGCTGATGGTAGAGAGCAAATATGCTCATATGACTATGAAGATGTGAACACAGACAGGCAGTAACAGCATGCAGAGGACCTGTATAGGTCAAGCCAAATGGGGTCCCGACAGTGAAAGGGGAGCAGACCCAAGACCTAACCAATCTGTAATTGCTAATAATGTATTTCCAACATGAATCAAGACTGCCTTCAGATCACCAATATCTCCTTTAGCTATTCATGATATTTTATTCTCAGGTACAAAGAAAAGGTATTTTTCCAATGATATATTCTACAAAGAATCAAACTGCCATGCTACATAATGCCACAAAATGTCATCAGATTTTCTTGGAAGTGCATTTTACACTGTAAATGCTTTTTCTGATTTTTAAGCGTGGTTAATTAAATAATAAAAATGAAAAATCTTGTTCATAATTATAAAAGTTACTCCTCTAAACGTGTACCTAAGATTCTGAGTCAAGTTAAATTGACTATCTAGTTGCTATCTATATTAGATAATTAGCTGCAGAACTGTCAAATCCCCAATCATAGATCAATAATGAATTTTTAAATGTCTAGGTAATTAGCTTAAAGAGAATGAAGTTCTCAAAATCCACCTTTTCCATTATATAACTAAAGTTAGGAGTTAGAGAAATTATTACGAGAGCTGTGTCTTTGATTCTTGGGCTTAAAAAATAAATCATGGAATTATCCTTCCCACTTCCTTGATTACTGTTAAGTTCCTTTTGCAAGACTCCTTGATACCCATGATGTAAAGTTTCTGTTACATTTGTAAAAGAGTCACAGACTTATAGACAGTGTGGCATTTGGAAGTTCTCACCTGAGTAAAGAAGGGTAGAACTGTGACATGCAGGAAACCCAGTGAAATGGTTGATTAAACAATGATGCTAAGGAATTTGAAGCTGAGTCATCCATACCATGCTGAAAAGTCCTAGGGAAACAAAATTAATTATTTCAGAATATGCAGGAAACATTAACTATGGGGAGCACTGATACAACTTTAGAATTTTACTTAGTTTTCACAAGCCAATTTTTAATAGAAAGTGGTCTCATTTTATTGAGGACAATGCATCCACCAAAATGACAACAAATCTAATCCCCCCTCAAAAGAAGAAGAAGAAGGAGAAGGAAGAGGAAGAGGAGGAAGAGGAGGAGGAGGAGGAGGAGGAGGAGGAGGAGAAGAAGAAGGGAAAAGGTAAATCCAAGAATCAAGAAATAGTATTTTAATGAGTCTTTGTAGAACAATCCTTACACAGGGAAGGTATAGTTATGTCATTATTATTTAATTTTAGAAATTCACACTAAAAAATTTGTCAAAGACAAATCCCACAGAAATTGCAATGAATACAATCTATGTCTCTCAGAACTAGTATTATATTTCATAGGATTCTTATCAACTCAATAAATGTTAATATTTGTAATATCTGCTTAATGTAACAATAAATAACTTATAATTAAATTTATATGTTTTTAATGGCCCAAGAAACCTTGTAAGAGGAACTTAATTGTGAAATGTATAGCATGATGCAAAATATAGAATACTTTTTCCAGAATGTCTTGTCTACAGCTACGTTTTGGAAATGACTAATATTTTTCTAAGTTGGCTCAAATTCAACTATAGATCTAGATCTAATAAGGAAGGATCCGTTACATGAGTAGATAGCTTGGCAAGTAGATAGCTTGACAAGATAAAACATGACTGGACAATCTATTTGCCCACATCAACTCAAGAGTAAAGACTTTATAAATGGAATTGTTTAAAATGGTAGTTTCCATATAATGAGGAAATGATATTGTCTTTTTAAAAATGAAAAATATGATTATATCACTTTCCCTCTTCCTTTTCCCAAGGCAGAGGTCAAAGGATCTTGAGGAACACAGCTCCAACAGATACATCACAGAAGATGGGCAGAAAGGTTGTAAGGGTCAGAGGACTAGGAAGTCTGCTAGCTCTCCTAGAAATGACTTCCTAAACAGATAAGACCTGAAAAGTGAGAATACCAACAGACAGGCTTATGTAGAAGGTAGAAACTGGTCAAACTAGAAAAAAAAAAAAAGTTGAAAAGTAAAAAAAAAAAAAAAGTTATTTAAATTTTAAATAAACGAATAAAACTTGAATGGCATCACAAACTTATTATTAAAAAAAAAAGAATACAGTTCTGTTGTGAAAAAGCCACCCTACCTTCTTCTCACTTCACATCTTGCATTTTGTATTGTCCTATTTTCTAAACTTGACTTTTCCTTCATTGTCTTGAGGACAGGGATTATCTTCAATTAATTATACTTGGAAGATATTTTTTAGACACATAATATATCATCATCTCCTTAAAGCTATTTTTTCTTTAGCTTCACTAAATTTTAGATCAGAGAAACATCGCCAAATAGTCAAAGTCAGGCTATAAATACTCACTCAATGCAGTCCACAGAGGGAACTATAAAGGCAGACAGAGGCTAGCTCAGTTCCAGGGTACCCTTTTCGAAGGGGTCTCTCTTTTGTACCAACAATGAGGAATTTATAGAATGGTAGTGATGTTAGCTGTTAGCAGTTTCACATCTTATAAACAGAGTTCAATAGCAGTAAGGGATGTGGATGGAGGGGATTAAGGATATAATGACTATGATACTGTGCTAGATCAGCAATAAGAACCTAAACTAAGTAAGAGACGAAAACAAGAAATCCCAAGTTGACAGAATGAACAGCAGTCATCCTTAATGACAAAGGTTTAAGATGACAGGAGAGTAAAGGTAGCAGAGACAGCTGTGTGTGGAGGGTAGCTTAGAGGAACTTACAGGAATTTCACTTCATTTCAAATAGTCACAGAGGCTCATGGGCATTTGAAATACATCTTAAGAGAGGCATAGAGGAGGAATGTGAATTTACGGGTCCAGTATATACAAAAGAAGTCTGATTTGAAGATACCCATCTGGAAGTCATCCCATGCGATGAATTCCCCCACTGAAAGAGTGTGAAGTGAAGAGATAGCCAAGGACAGAGCTTTGGATCAACATTTAAAGCATGACATGAGGAAAAGAAGTACTAAAATGAAAGTGCAAAGAAAAAAATCAGAAAAGGCAAAGAGCCAGGAGAAAATTATGTTAGGGAGGCTGGGGAAAGAGAAGATGGCTAACAATGTCAACAGCTGCAGAGAAAGTAAAAAGAATATTCTACTAGAGTTAGTCATTGCATGCACATGGTGGAGGGAGAGATCAAACTGCAGTGACTGAGTGAGTGGCAGGACACACAGTAATCGGATGTGAATGAAAACAGGAAGAAGGCTTCCCCACAGGAGAAGGTCAGGGGCGTGAGGCAGAAGGGAGAAACCACATTTCACAGACTACAGCCATAGAATGGTAGATAAAATTTGTCAGAAGATTATTTGAAAAGATGTACTATAGCTGAGAAAATAAACACATTAATCAAAAGCATATCAAGAGATGCAGTGGTAAGGTGGGATGAAAATATTTATTAAGAATTGATGTGGATGGTATAGTTACCTAAAGACTATGGGTTGAAGCCTGCAGGACCAGAATAAAACATGAGAGGATAAAATGAATGCATAATGGGCTGTATTTTCAGAGAAGTACAGGGCAGGGCTACCTGCTGAGAAAACATTGAATGAGGCAAGGTCAAAGAGATGACCAAAGTTGAGGAATCTGGAAGGAGTTCCCTGTAGTGTCAAATGTTGGAGTTGTCAGCAGGTACAAAAGTACTTAAGTGAACATAGCTGAACAAGTGCTCTTGTTCAGCTATGTTCATATCAGCATTGTTTGTAATAGCCAGAACATGGAAACAACCCAGATGCCCTTCAACTGAAGAATGGATAAACAAAATGTGGTACATATACACAATGGAATACTACTCAGCAGAGAAAAACAATGGCATCATGAGGTTTGCAGACAAATGGATGGATCTAGAAAAAATCATCCTGAGTGAGGTAACCCAGACTCAGAAAGACAAACATGGTATGTACTCACTCATAGCAGGATACTAGACATGAAACAAGGATGACTTGTCTACTACTCACATCACCAGGGAGGCTACCTGGAAAACAGGACCCTAAGAAAGACACAGGGATCGCCCAATGACAGAGAAATGGAATGAGATCTACATGAACAGCCTGGACATGAGTGGGGGTAATGAAAGGCGAGGGTTGAGGGAAAGAGAGCTTGGGGGAGCGGGAGATCCCAGCTGAATCAACAACAGAGAGGGAGAACAAGGAATAGGAGACCATGGTAAATGAAGACCACATGAGAATAGGAAGAAGCAAAGTGCTAGAGAGGCCCACAGAAATCCACAAAGATACCCACACAACAGACTGCTGGCAATGGTCGAGAGACAGCCCGATCTGACCTACTCTGGTGATGGGATGGCCAAACACCCTAATTGTCATGCTAGAAAACTCATCCAACTACTGAGGGATCTGGATGCAGAGATCCATGACTAGGCCCCGGGTGGATCTCTGGGAGTCCAATTAGCGAGAATGAGGAGGGTTTATATGAGCGAGAATTGTTGAGACCAAGGTTGGATAAAACACAGGGACAAATAGCCAAATGAATGGAAACACATGAACTATGAACCAATGGCTGAGGGGTCCCCACTGGATCAGGCCCTCTGAATGGGTGAGACAGTTGATTGGCTTGATCTGTTTGGGAGGCATCCAGGCAGTGGGACCAGATCTTGTGCTCATTGCATGAGTTGGCTGTTTGAAACCTGGGGCCTATGCAGGATTGTTTGGCTTGGCCTTGGAGGAGGGGACTAGACCTACCTGGACTGAGTCTACCAGGTGGACCTCAGTCTGTGGGGAAGGCTTTGCCCTGGAGGAGATGGGAATGGGGGGGGGGGGTTGGGGGGAAGGTGAGGGGGACGGGAGGGGGGAGAACAAGGGAATCTGTGACTGATATGTAGAACTGAATTGTATTGCAAAATAAAATAAATTAAAAAAAAAAGAAAAAAAAAGTACTTAAGTGATAATCTAGTTGTGGGCCTGAGTCTGGTTAGAGACCAACTGAGTTTGGAGGGAACAGACATGCAATGGTAAGGATGTAGGAAGAAGATGCTGTTTAAGGAGGAGGATGCAGTAAAGGCTTGTAAAGAAAGACAGCTTCAAAGGGAGTGACAGCCCAGGATGAAGGACTTCACGAGTCACACATAGAAGATCAAAGCTTATCCCCACTTTTTCTGTATGCCTTTGAGCCCTTTGCATAGGTCCCTATTTGTCCAGAAATGAGAGGGTGCATCATGTAGCACGCCCCCGCCATCATGGTCAGCCAGCTCCATAGCTGATTCCTGATAGAGGATTTTCTGTGTTAAGTGTTCCCTGATACTCTACCTAACATATCTCTTGTCACTGTCTCTCTTTTACTTTGCTTCTTTGTAGGACTTAGCTCTACCTTCAACCATTTCACATTTACTTTTTTCTTTTCTTTTCTTTTTTGTCTTCTCTGTGCCCCTAGGAGAGGGTAGCTGAAGGTTATTGAGAAGCAGTACTTATCACATGTAAGAGAAATGGAACCAAACAGAGTTAGGATCCAGTGTAGACTTTATCATTAGATTTGTAATATTTTTTTGACAACTTACTTAGCCTCTGTTTCCTAATTTGTAGAATGGGATATTACAGTGTGTGAGAATTCTGTGAGCTAATGTATATGAAGTGCTATGTTTCATTGTCAACAAGGGCTCAGAAAAGACAAGGTGCCTCTGTGAGAACAGATGCAAGGTGCTGTAAAAAAAATGCCTATAAATATCTCAAAACTGTTATGAAAGTCCTATCAGTTGAAATAGTTAACTACTTGCAACTTTATCCTCAACATCGGAAAAAAATAATACAGGATCTAACAATAGTGGAATGGTTAACTATTGCCATTTTCTTAAATTTCAGACCAAAGAAAACACAGTATTTAGCTGGGTGTTTCTGTCAGGACATCTCCTCT